TTTGAGGTGAGAACACAGGAGGATACCAGCTCCACACGAAGGCTATAGAATCTAGAGAACGTGTTGGGGGTCGCCCAGCCCACAGCTCTACAAATATCTGCCAGCGAGGCACCACGATCCAGCGCCCAGGAGGATGCAACACTTCTAGTAGAGTGAGCTCACAACTTGAACGGGCAGGGCACACCCTGTGCCTGATAAGCCAGGGTGATGGCATCCACTATCCAGTGGGCCATCATCTGGTTAGAAACAGTATTCCCCTTCTGCCGGCCTCTGTAACAGACAAAGAGCTGGTCTGAGGTCCTGAAGCTTTGTGTCTTGTCTACGTAGCATCTCAATGCTCGGACGGGACAAAGCAAAGCTAGGGCTGGGTCTGCCTCCTCCGGGGGCAGCGCTTGCAGGCTCACCACCTGATCCCTGAAGGGAGTAGTGGGAACCTTGGGCACATAGCCGGGCCGGGGCCTCAGGATTACCTGGGAGTCAGCCGGCCCAAACTCTAGGCACAAATCGTTGACCGAAAATGCGTGCAGGTCCCCTACCCTTTTGATGGAGGCCAATGCAAGCAGGAACAGAGTTTTCATTGACAGAAACTTCAGCTAGACTGTCTGCAAAGGCTCAAATGGGCCCTGCTGTAGTGCTCTGAGCACTAGAGACAGGTTCCAAGAGGGTATAGAGGGGGGCCGTGGAGGATTTAGCCTTCACACCCCCCTAAGGAACCTGATGATCAGGTCATGTTTCCCCACCAACTTCTCTTCCACGGGGTCGTGGTTGGCAACAATCACAGCCACGTAGACTTTAAGGGTGGAGGGAGACCCCTGCTGCAAAAAGGACAGCACGACTTTGATCGGACATTTACGCGGGTCTTCTCGGTGAGAAGAGCACCATTCGACGAACAGGTTCCACTTCAAGGCGTAAGCGTGTCTCGTAGATGGTGCTCTCGCCGAAGTGATGGTGTCAACTACCTCTTGGGGTAGGGCACCTTGGAGTCCCGTACAGGGACCAGACATGAAGTTTCCAGAGGTCTGGACGCGGGTGCCACAGGGTGCCCCGCCTCTGAGTCAGTAGACTTAGGGCGGTCACAAGGAGCATCAGTTCCGGGAACCAAGTCCGTGTGGGCCAGTAAGGCGCCACGAGCAGGACTTGTTCCTCGTCCTCCCTGATCTTGCACATTGTCTGTGCAAGAAGGCTCACTGGGGGAAACGCATGCCAGCTGTGTCCCAGTGTGTCCGTGCCGAGTGTTCCCTCGGTCAGGGAGTAGAACAGCAGTGAGAGGTTTCTGGAGAGGCAAACAGGTCTACCTAAGTGGCTCCGAAATGACTCCAAATTAGCTGGACCGTCTGGGGATGGAGTCTCCATTCTCCCGTGAGCACAGCTCGTCGGCTGCCCGGTTGTGCAGACCAGGAATATGAATGGCACGAAGCAACCTCAGATGCTTCTGACTCCAGAAGAGGAGGTGGCGGGCGAGTTGCAACATGCGACGGGAGCATAGACCACCTTGTCGGTTGATGTATGCAACGGTCTGATGGTACGATGGAGCCAACAAGACGGACAAGTGGCACCAACGGACCCACCGACATACCCACGGTGGGGCAGCGAGGGGGAACGCAGGGTCCCGGCCCGGGCATCTCGTTGCCGGTCCGAAGCGGGGTCAGCATGTGTGCAACACTTACCTGCGTTCAGGCAGAGGGTGAGTGAGTAGTACCTTTGATCGCACTCTCGAACCGCCCACAGCTGCTCACTGCGAGAGAGGAGGGTGAGTGTGATCCGAGACTGGCCCGTCCACAACTCCCCGTCCCCTCTGGGGAACCAGAGACGGGAAAAAGTGGCGGGAAAAAAAGAAACAAAAGATTCTCCGCCCGGCCCTCCTCCGGGAGGGAGTGGTGCGTTCACCATCTCCTGAAGAGCAGCTCCCTCCATCTCTGGGTCGCCCGTCTCAGGGCCTCTTGCTTTTCCGCTTGCCACCAGGTTTGGCGAGGGCCTGGGCAGGCGGGGTGGCTGCCCTGCGACCGGCTCCACGGCGCTGCTTTGCTGGAGGCTGCTGAGTTTGCTGCGCGGGGGTGGTGGCAGGGGGCCGCCCTTGGCGACGAGTAGACTGAGGTGCTGCCGCCGGTGGCCGGTTGGAGGGAACAGCTGCACGCCGAGGCAGGATGTTTTTGATGGCCTCAGTCTGCTTCTGTGTGACGGAGAACTGCTGGGCGAATTTCTCCACTGCGTCGCCGAAGAGGCCGGTCTGGGACACAAGGGCATTTAAAAACCGAGTCTTGTCAGTCTCCTTCATGTCAGCCAGACACAGCCAGAGATGGCACTCCTGGACCACCATAGTAAACATTGCACGGCCCAGAAACCGCTCGTAACGCGAGGTCAGTAGCAGTACGAAGCTCTTTAAGAACTTCTGGGTCGTGACCACCCTCATGCAGGTCCTTCAGTGCCTTGGCCTGATGAACCTGCAACAACGCCATGGCGTGTAGGGCAGAGGCAGCTTCTCCGCTGTCCACATAAGCACTGCCGGTCAGGGCCGACGAGTACCTGCAGGCCTGGGAGGGGAGCCACGGCTTTCGCCACCAGGTGGCAGCGCTATTTGGACACAATTGCATCGCAACCGATCGCTCCACCGGAGGGACTTCCATATACTCCCGCGCTGCCCCACCGTTGAGGGTGGTGCGGGAGGACGAGCCATTGGGTCGGTTTCTGGCAGTGAAAGGTGCCATCCACGACCCAGTGAGCTCATCATGCACCTCCGGGAAGAAAGGCACCGGAGTGGGGCCCTGAGAACCAGCGCGAGCCACCCAGAGAAAACAATCATCCAACCTTGAGGGTTCGGGACGCGGTGGAGGTTTCCACTCGAGCCCGATGCTCGGCAACCCAGGAAAGTATAGCCATTATTTCTGGATTCGAATCTGGCGCCTGCCTGATCATCCTCTCCAGAAAGGTCTGGCTCACCCTCCGATGCAGCGATCGACATCCGATCATCAGGTGGGGGCACCAGAAGATACAAGTGGTACCACACGGGAGGGTCCAGCCTGTTCTTTCGGCAGCCCCACTGGCTGCGAAGTGCCGGTGGAAGGAGGAACCTTCGGAGGTTGGTTCCTCGGAGGGGAATTCCTCACCGTCACCGTTAGACCGGTCCGGCTACTGCCAGAAGTAACGCCCCCCCTGGCTGCCGCCAGGGGGAATCCTAGGTCTAGGCAGAGGCCCCGCCCCTTTGCAAGAAACTGGTCCGCAACTCCGCGACGGTCATTTTCCCGCAATGGGAGCATGACTCGTCCACGAAAGCCACCTCAGTGTGCTTAATGCCCAGATACGAGAGGCAGCGATCGTGACCATCACCCTGGCGCCAGGTAACAACCGCATCCAGAAACGCACGGATGGAAAGGGCATCTTTAAAAAGACGTTCCACCCGTGAATGCTTTTTTAGTGTGCTGAAGCACACAGGGGAGATGGCCACCTGCAACACAAACAGGGGGTAGTGCAGCCTGATGTGTGGAACCCACTCGACACAGGAAGAACCACCGCCACTGAAGTGCTAACATCTATCTAAATGTTTATTTTTATAAATAATAATATACTATATATATAATAATATACTAGAATAATATATTCTAATATACATTTATAATATTTAAATATATTATCATATATAATGTGTATATCTAATTTTACATTAATATTAAAATAGTGTTATATATTAATTTAAAAATCAATGAATTAATTTATTTGTATGTAGTATTTATTTTTATATTTATATAAATAATAAATATTTAATATATATTTATTTTATATATTTATATACATTTATATTTAAATATATTATCATATATATAATATATGTGTATACATATATTAATATTAATATATTAATGTTATATATTAATTTATAAATCGATTAATTTATTTATTTATATGTAGTATTTATTTTTATATTTATATAAATAATAAATATGAATATATATTTATTTTATGTATTAATATATATTTATTTTATGTTTAAATTTAATATGTGTCACAGTTTCCACAAATATAATATAAAATTTTATATAATTTTATATTAATATATTAACTTTATAAATTAATTTATAAATCAATTCATTCATTTATACACTGTTTTTGTATACTTTTATTATTTTGTATAAATATTAAATATGTCATATATAATATAAATTGTAATATTTAAATATAATTGTGAATATAAAATGTATCACAATGATAAAAATTAATACATTATTATTAACTACTAAATTAGTAATTAATTAATAAATCATTTAATTATTTATTTATAGAGAAGTACAAATCAAGTTTTAAACTGTAATGACACGTCCCAACTTTAAGTACCAAAAATCACAAACCTCACAGTAAATAAAATGGGATGGCTCATATAATAATATAATCCATCCCGAGGTGGACAGATAGTATCTTCTCAATGCTAAGCACATCTCTCACGGATGTAACTTTTCAACTTTCTGACATTATTAAGCTTGTTCGTGGAACTGCTGTTATTCTCTGGAGTGAGTCTGAGTCTCTGTGCCAAGAAGCTCCAGATTCACAGACTTGAGTAAACACTGCGCTGGATTACACCAAAGTCCTGGCAGAGGATCAGCGGTGGCCGTCTACAATCTGCAGCGTTTTAAGTTATCACAGAAACAGCGTTCAGCCGCTGCTGTGTTTAATCACAACATAAATACACTTCCCCGCATGGAGGAGGATGTTTTGCTTGCGTTCTCGTGTGTGGGAGCGAGGGAGGCCCCTCTGAATGCTCTGTGAGTGTTTCTGATCTGTGCTTTCGTCCCGGAGCAGGTCGAGGTGGTCGTGTGGCGGCCCACGGCGGGATGCTGTCCTCCTTCATCGTCAAAAACATCGCCCTGGACAAAACCGACGACAGCAACCCGCGAGAGGCCATCCTGTGTCACGCCAGAGATGCCGCTGAGAACCCGTACTGGGTCGCCCCGGCCTATAAACAGTAAGACAGAGACCAGAGCGGTGAATGTCAGACTGACAGATACATGAGTGCTGTTCCCTAGTGACGTCTGTGGAGAAAAAATACCAATTTAAGAAAAAATATCAATTGAATTTGGATACATTCAGTGTATAGTCATATATGTGACACTGGAGCACAAAACCAGTCATAAGTGTCAATTTCTCTAAATTGAGATTTATACATCATCTGAAAGCTGAATAAATAATCTCTCCATTGATGTATGGTTTGTTATGATAGGATATTTGGCTGAGATACAACTATTTGAAAATCTGGAATCTGAGGGTGCAAAAAAATCTAAATATTGAGAAAATCATCTTTAAAGTTGTCCAAATGATTTTTGGCATAAAAGAAAAATCTATAATTTTGACCCATACAATGTATTGTTGGCTATTGCTACAAATATCCCCCAGCGACTTAAGACTGCTTTTGTGCTGCAGGGACACATATTAGTTTTAACAAATATTTTTTTATATTTAAAATAATTTAAGTTTTCGTATCATTTTCATTTTGGTTCAGTTTCGTTTTATCAGTGAATTTTTAGTTGCATTCAAGTTTAAATTTTTTTCAAGTTTAGTTTTAATAATAGGTAATATACAAAAGCATTTCCATAATTTCTACAAACAAAATAAGAGAGTGTTTTTAACTTAATATTGACATGTAATGTATTTCATTACAACTTTTAAATATGAAAAACACACACAGACATATATATATATATATATAAATATTAATTGCACTTAATTATATTTGTAAATTTTTAAAACAAAACCTTTTCTTTTAAAATTTCATATTTTTTGTATTTTGAAAATTGTTTATGATTTAGTTTTTATTTTGTAAAGTATTTTTGTTTATATTTTATACTATAAGTTTCTCTTTTATTCTATAATATTTTATAAATAAATCAGGCAAGTGTTTCGAACTTACTGACAATGTATTTTATAAACTTTTAAGTATATATTTAAGAAGATTTATAAGTTTGTAAAATATGTTCGTAAAAATAAGTCTAGTTGTATTTTTTAAAAAATTGTTTTTAATTTTTTGGTTTCATTTTGTAAAGTATTTTTTTCTTTATTTTAAATAGTAGTCAGTGTACAGAAACAAGCATTTCCATAATTGTTTACAAACAAAATAACCTATGAAGTTTTTAATATGCTTAAAAAAAATAATTCAATATAAAATAATTATAAAAAAAAAATATATATATATATATATATATTTTTTAATGGCATGGTCAATTGTAATGGGCATTGCAATTTAATAATTTATTAAATAATAATTTCTTAATAATTTATTAGATTATTCAATAGAATTTGCTTTGCTATTATAGTTAGGTATTCGCACTGAGCTCCGACTGATGCCTGATGGGATTGTCTTTTATTTGAAGAATGCATGCGATGCTGCTGTAAAATGTGGTCAGAATGAGGTCACATCCCAGAAGGCAGCTCAGGTCCAGGTGAGACAGGTGTGGCAGACAGAAAGTGTTGCTGGAGTTCACCTGACACCTGTGTGTCACACCTCAGCTCACAGATGCACTCATGTCTGAAAGATCTTCAGCCGCGGCTCGGGTGACGGACGCAGCTCTGAAGGGTGAAGGGTGATGCTATTCACGAGCACTTCACCATCCCAAAATAACAAACACACTGACCCCGAACAGTGTTTCAACACCTGCAGATGCCTGAGTGTCATTGCATTACATGAGAAAATACAAAAGCAAAAGAGTAAAGAACAAGATACCACACCTGCATGTATGAGTTGCATCTAATGCAATGACAGTCAGACATTTGTAAGTGTCCAGATATTAATGTCTAGGAAAATCAATAAATCATTCCTTATCTTATGCTCTTTGGGTTTTTCCTGTACAATGCCGATTATCATCAGATTATCATCCACAGTGGTTGTCAAAAATGCTATTTATTTGTTATTTTCTTCATACTACAGATGGATTGCATGTATTTAATTACCATTTTTTTATTTAATTATTATATAAATAACTGCATTTTTTTGTTGTTGCTCTTAATTGCTGTTTTTATTTAATGTTTATTGGTAGAAAAAGACAAAATCATCAAGCTTTAATCTTTGTAGTGTGTTGATCAAATAAGACATCCACAGTCATTGGCAAAAATACAATTAATGTGTTACAATTTAATATATAATTAATATATAATTTATTATATATTCATGTGTATATATAATTTAATCATTTATAAATAATTTGTAATTTAATGCATATTTTAGTATAACATTTAATTTAATTATTAAATATTAATTATATATTTAAAAAATAATATATATTAATTAACTATATATATACATACATAGTTGAGTTCTAAACTTTAAATCACTCCTTATCTTAGGCTCTCTGTAATATGTGGATTATCATAAGATAAAACATCCACAGTCGTTGCCAAAAATACAATTTTTTTGTTATGATTGTCTTCATACTCCAGTGATGGATTACATCCTGATTCCATATTCGCTTTTTTTTTCCAAAACCCTAAAATAAGATCTGAGCGAATGCTGTCGTGGACGAGTGAAATGGAATCAGATGGAAATCCCAGTTTTATGTTGGGTTTATGTGTAGTAAAAGCAAGCGGCTGTAAGCAGAGGCATCTTTGTGTTTACATTGTGACCGTGTGCGTCCCTGTAAAGCAGGAGCGTGTGGTCCTGAAATATGCTGACAGGTTTTTATCTGTTCATCTCTTCTGTTGGATGTTTATCTGGAGAATAACTCATGAATCTGTTTCGGCGGTGGTCTGTTCAGCTACGTGTGACAAATCATCCACAGTCGTTGCCAAAAATACAATCTTTTTGTTATGATTGTCTTCATACTCCAGTGATGGATTACATCCTGATTCCATATTCGCTTTTTTTTCCCAAAACCCTAAAATAAGATCTGAGCGAATGCTGTCGTGGACGAGTGAAATGGAATCAGATGGAAATCCCAGTTTTATGTTGGGTTTATGTGTAGTAAAAGCAAGCGGCTGTAAGCAGAGGCATCTTTGTGTTTACATTGTGACCGTGTGCGTCCCTGTAAAGCAGGAGCGTGTGGTCCTGAAATATGCTGACAGGTTTTTATCTGTTCATCTCTTCTGTTGAATGTTTATCTGGAGAATAACTCATGAATCTGTTTCGGCGGTGGTCTGTTCAGCTACGTGTGACAAATAGCGTGACGAGATCAGAGCCGTGATACTTTAGATACCCAGCGCTGAATGCTAAGGCCTAAATCCTGCCTGTATAACACCAGAATTATATGTGGATATATATCAGTGACCATATCGGTATCGGTATCGGTATTGGCCATAATTATGTTTTCTTTGTTTGTTTGTTTTTTCTTTCTTTTTTTTAAACAAACCTATTGCATTTGACCTGTTGAACCAAAAATGATTATTTTATTTTATTTTATTTTATTTTATTTCATTTCATTTCATTTCATTTCATTTCATTTCATTTCATTTCATTTCATTTCATTTCATTTCATTTCATTTCATTTCATTTCATTTTATTTTATTTTATTTTATTTTATTTTATTATTTTAAAGAATTATATGTGGAAATATATCAATGACCATATTGGTATCAGCCATAATTAGTACTGTTTTAATTATCATTGTGATCATATCAGTGTGATCCAAGATTTTAATTTTATTGCCCATCCAAATCTTCTTTAAAAACTGTTGCATGTGACACGTTGACCTGAAAATTAGATTTTTAAAATTAAGATTATTATTTTGTTTTATTTATTTAAATTTTTTTGTGGAAATATATTGGTGACCATATTGGTATCAGTCATAATTAGTACTGTTTTTTTAAAGATTTTTATTTTGTTTTTCACTTGATTTTAATTAGATTTGGCCATTGCCCATAATTAGTACTGTTTTTATTATCAGTTTTGGTCTGATTCAAGATTTTTATTTTGTTTTCTGTCATTCACTCATTCCAAATGTGCTTTAAATTTCTGTTTAGTTTTTGTTCATTTCAGCAATTCACACACACACACACACACACACACACACACACA